AACAACAACAACAGTAATAACAACGACAACGACATCAGCAACAATAAAAACAAAACTAACAATCGGTTTAAGACTGTTCGCTTCTATCCTTCTCGAGTGTCTTTGAACGCGTATTTCCCAAACCCTCGATGCCCGCCCTCTTCGTCTTCGATTGTACCCTTTTTGGGGGTATACCTTTCTTCCCTGCGGGCCGGGCCCTGGCAAGCGGCGGGCCGGCCGCGGACCGTTGGCCTGGCCAGCGGCAGCGCTGATCGGCGGCAGCCCGACCCCAAGAGGGACGGACAGGGGACCGACCACGACGACGACGACGACGTCGACGACGACGACGACGGCGAAGACGACGACGGCGACGACGACGACGACGACGACGAGCGAGAGCGAGAGAGAGAGATCGACAGCAGGGCCACGAAGGGCACGAAGTAGGCCACGAAGGGCGACAGCGGGGACACGAAGGGAATGCGTGTGGGGCCACCGAGAGCGCGAACGAGCGGGGGCCACGAAGGGCAGATAATGCGGGGCCAAAGAAGGCAACGACGGGGGCCACTGAGGGTAGCAAGTGGGCCACGTAGGGCAGCGAGGGGGCCGCAAATGGCGACAGAGGGGCCACAAAGGACACGCAGATGGGGCCACTACGGGAGCGAACGAGCGGGGGCCACGAAGGGCATGCGTACATTGGGCCGCGGAGGGCAAGGACGGGGCCACTGAGGGCAGTAACGGGGTCACGAAGGGCAGCGAGGGGGCAAGGGCGACAGCGGGGCCACAAGGGCAGCGAGGGGCCACGACGGGCACGAACGAGCGGGGGCCACGAAGGGCATACATACATAGGGCCACGATGGGCGGCGAGGGGGCCACGAAGGGCTGCAACGGGTCACGAAACAAAGCGAGGGGACCACGAAGGGCTGCAACGGGGCCACGAAGGGCAGCGAGGGGGCCACGAAGGGCTGCAACGGGGCCACGAAGGGCAGCGAGGGGGCCACGAAGGGCTGCAACGGGGCCACGAAGGGCAGCGAGATCCCGATTCTTAAGTAATCTGTGAGGGAGTCCTAAGCGCGAGCGCGACTTCTGGGTGCCTGAGTGTCGGGAGCGCGGCGCTTCATTAATTCGCGGGAAATTCCAACGCAAAAGCGCTATTCTTGAGTAGAGTGCAAGCAAGTCTCCAGCGAAAGCGCGACTCCAGAGCGCCGAGAGAAGGACTCCTGAATAAATGTTAAAGAAATCCCAAGCGAGAGCGCGATTCCTGAATAAAATGCGAGGAAGTCTCGGGCGGGAGCGGGAGTCCTGGCTAAGTCTCGGGCGGGAGCTGTTGTTGTTGTTGTTGTAACCTGGGGGCCAACAGCGCGGTTTGAGGAGGAAGGCTTTCCATTAGAAGAAAGGAAAACAAACAACAAAAAAGGGTGCGAGCGCCGGGAGGGGCACTTCAGTTTAAAAGTCCAATGTGCATCGGAAAGGGGGATCAGCAATAATCATGTTTCATTAGTGAGAGTTCAACAACAACAATCATTTTAAGACTGTTCGCTGTTACTGGCACGCGTGTCTTGCATTCCGTATACCGCAACCCTCGATACCCGCCCACTTCGTTTTCGATTGCACCCTTTTTCGGGAAGACTGTTTTCCTCGTCGACCACTGACTGAAGTGCGAAGGCATCTCGAGCGAGAGCGCCGTTCCTGAGTTCGGGGGTCTCTCTGGCCAGGGGTGTCCCCGGAATACCTATGGAGAAATATCGAACGGGAGCCCTTGTCGCCGTGTCCGGGCCTCCACCAACCTGCTTGAATTACGGGAAAGTCTCGAGCGAGAGCGCCGTTCCTGAGTTCGGGGGGCCTTTTTGGCCAGCGGCTCTCGGAGTAAATCGTGAGGAACTATCGAGCAGGAGCCCTGGTCGTCGTGGCTGGGCCTCCGCCAATTTAATCGAATTGCGAAGAAATCTCGAGCGAGAGCGCCGTTCCTGAGTTCGGGGGCCTCTCTGGCCAGGGTGTCGCGGGGTAAATTGTGTGAAAGTATCGAGCGGGAGCCGTTGTTGTCGTAGCTGGGCCTCCAAGGGCCCACATTTAGGCTCAAGCCAACGCTCGAGCAGGAGCTTCGTTTTCAGAGGAAATGTAGCCGGCATCGAGGCGAGAGCGCGCGGAACCGTTTCCGGAGATCAGCAATAATTATTCTTTAGAAATGAGTACGCATCAACAACAACAACAACAACAACAATCACACCAACAACGCAACAAGCAGACTTCTCACCACAAATTCCCTATTCAGACACGCACCCAGGGACCATGAATGACCGTTCGGCCCCCTCCCTCTGATTTAACAACAATGAGAAATAGTATGGTGACGATGTGTCGTTGGTTTGTTTGTTGTTTTTGTTCCGCTTGTATTCCGAAACCCGTCTTTTAGGAGGACATGCCCGACCTGATCCTACACCCCTCTTCATCATACTCAGCCATTGCACGTTCCACCTCACACCTCATGATTATTCCTCGCTTTTCGAAGAAGGTTGCTGTCACCCCAAGCGCTGCGAACATTCGGTTCAACATAGTGTGCAAGAGCTGCTTCGCAGGAGGAAGGCGGCCCGTGTTCCAAATGGGGGCGCTGGCCGTTAGCGCCGCCCGGGTATGCCTTCATGGCTTGCCGCAGCTGCACGCAAGGACGCCAGGTCGTTCTCAACACTTCTGCACGCAAGGACGCCAGGTCTTTCTCGACACTTGGGTAGGGGATCGCCAACATCATTCCCCAATCAGCGCTTGCACCGGAGGGGTCCTAGCGGAGATTGAAAGATTTGGCGAAAGTGCCTTGCCAATTTCGGTGGGCGGCTGGGTTCCGGGGTTCCCAGTTCCGGGTTCCCGGGTTCCTGGTTGCTGGTTCCGGGCCGATTTCAGTGGGCGGGGAGTCCCAGATTTTTGGGTTCCTTGGTTCTTGGTCGATTCCCTTATCGATCGGTCTCACCATCTATCTTATTAGCCACCTCTCTATCGATATCACGATCGATCTCACAATCGATCTCACGATCGATCTCTCACTCGATCTCATTATAGATCGCAAGAGCGATCTCACGATCGATCTCATTATCGTTCTCACTGCATCGACATCAGTATCGGTCCCACCACCGAGCAAATTATCGTCCTCACTATCGACCCCACTATCGATCTCACGATCGATCTCACACTAGACTTCAACGTCCCAATCACTAATTGACAAACCATCCGCTGGTTTTGTTTTTTCTCTGGTGTAAGTGATGTACCCCATAATTGGAATGCCCGTCGAACATTCGGAACTAGAAAAGCGCACACTGTTCGCAGGTGTGCAAACATTCATGCGTTCTACTCGTACGTTCGACAAACAAATCCAATTTGGGGTAGTTCGGTTCTGTAGTCGATCCCCTGTTCGAAACGCGCGGTTCTCGTGCTTGCGTCGCGCGTATTCGTTTAAGGGAGGGTTTGCAATCCCTTCGCGGGTGGAAGCTTGTCGTGTTCAGGTTCTGGCTCCTGCCTCGGCGCCGCGCTCGTCCGTTCCAACCGCTTTGGAGCAGCTTCGCGTACATAGGGTGGTGCATGCCCAGCGTGGATCTCACACATTCGAGACGTTCTCAGAAGCCATGGCATGACTTTTTTGAGCGGTGAGGGTGGTGCATGCCCAACGTGGATCTCACACTTTCGCGACGTTCTCGGAAGCCGTGGCATGACTTTTTTGAGCGGTGCAGCATGCACACTGGTGGAGCACAGCCCTCTTCGAATCGGGGCCTTTGCGTCCGACTTGCGATGGTACTGGTGATGATGACGATGATGATGATGATGATGATGATGATGATGATGATGGTGATGATGATGATGATGATGATGATGAAGCTGGTGATTATGATGCTGATCCTGATGCTGATCCTGATGCTGATGCTGATCTTGATGCTGCTGATGGTAATGGAGATAATGACGATGACGATGACGATGACGATGACGATGGTGGTGATGTTGATGTCGATGATGATGGCGATGACTGTCGTGGTGATGATGATGCTGATGATGCCGATGATGCTGACGATGATGATGAGGACGAGGAGGCTGAGGACGAAGATGAGGACGATGATGCTGATGATCATGATGATGACAACGATGGCAAGCTGAGCGCAGAAGCATGGATGGGAGAAGGGATGAAGAGGAGGGGGAGGAGGAGGAGAGGAGGAGGACACGGCTGCGGAGTCAGAGCGATGACCCGATCACCACAGGATGGTCAGGAGCAAGTGAAGCAGGAGGTTCGCCAAGACCGTGAGGGAAACGGAACCAGGTGTTCCCGCGGTACAGAAGACGTTGGCAAGAACGAGACAGCACACACCTTTTAGCAACATGCGGAGCAGGCCACGTGGCGACCCCAACGCGGGTCCGTCGTTGGCCAATCTCGCGTACCGGAGGGAGAGATCGGGCGGGGCTAGGACAGGGATCAATCATTCCAGAGCGTTCTGGAACGCTCCCAGAGCGTTCTGGAGCGCTCTGGAACGGCCGCGGCGCCCGATACGTCTCGATGATCCTCAGGACGTGCTCGCCCCTTGCAGCCTTTGCCAGCCATCGTTGCACCGCCTTCGTCGCATTGAAGGTCTGTGGTGGGCCAGCACACGTTTTCGCTAATACGCTTTATGAGGATCATCGGACGTCCTCCAGAAACCCTGGAATTCAGAGATCTCCGATTCGTCCAGATCCGATGCTGTCCCTGCTTGGGCTTCTTCTTAAAAAGAGAGAGAGAGAGAGTGAGAGAGAGAGGGAGAGAGAGGGAGGGAGAGAGATCAAATACTAAAGTTGAGACCCATGCCACAAAACACCCTGCTCGACTCCAGGGTGCCCTGGGTTTCTTGTGTTTCGATGTTAGTCTTTTTGTTATGGAAATCGTGACGTTCCCACCAAAAATGAATGGACGTCCTGGGGTCTCAGGGTTGGGTTTCTTGTGGAATGCTTCTTGTGGACTGGCCTCCACCGTAGGGATTGGCCTGCGGCGGCTCGGCCCGTCCTCGCGCCAGCCGGGGGAGGTCGGGATCCCGACCGTGATGTTGGTGGAGAACATGTCCTACTTTGACTGCGGCGGGTGCTCCGCCAGACACTTCATCTTCGGAGAGGGCGGCGGCAAGAGGTCGCCGGGGTCAGCAGGGCTCGTTTCGGTTCCTCCGATTCGATTCGATTCGATTTCGATTTCGATGGATTCCGATTCCGATTTGATTCGACTTGGGATTTCGATTATGGATCCGATTTCTTATTGGATGCCTATTTGCCTGCCGATCTCCGCCGGTTCGACTTTTCCCGACTCGGCTGCCGATTTCCGCCGATCCGACTCATCTCGATCGCCGATTCGACTTATCGATTCGATTCTGGTCTCTCCAGGGTCAGTATCGTCGAACCTACCCGTTGGCCGTTGAAAGTTGGCAATTTGGGAGTCCCAGATCCCAGTCTTCGTCCGAGGAGATGGGGTCAGTGGATCGTGCCGCATCGCCGATGCATCGACGATGCGGCTCGATGGGGAGCCCGATGTTCTCCACCCCAGTGTCGCCGATGCGTCGCCGATGCATCGGCGATACATCGGCGATGCGTTGCAATCCCCCGACCCCGTCTACTCGGACCCCATCTAGGAGGCTTTTAAAACTGCTTCAAGCGACTTCCTACTTCATGAGCCGATTATGGTTTTGATGTGCTCCGTTATTCTCCGGTAGGGCCTGGACCCAGCCTACTTCCTCCGCCTTCCTGCTGAATGTGTTTTTGCGCCTCTTCCGACCGGCGTGCATCCCCATCCTCGCCGGGCCATGGCTTCCCCGCCCACACTTCCCACCCCACCAGTTGGGGATCGGCCCCCCGAAGTCAAAGGGACATGCTCCAGGAAGGACTGGCAGCTGGGGGGGGCGAGGCGCCCCGTGTTCTTCGCTCCCCTCCCCGTCTTCGAGCCTCGAGGCCCTGCGGCGCGACGACGCAGGGCCTCGGGGCGCGAGGGAAGCAACAGGTTGGTGTAGGGAAACGACAAATGACATAAAGATAACAAGTACGAGATCCGCGCGGATTTCTCGGATCGGCGCTGGAGACCCCTGGCGGCGTCTCTGGCGCGGCCCTTGGCGCGCTCCGCGCACCAAGGAGGGGGTCCAACGCCAATCCGAGAAATCCGCGCGGACCTCCGAGTTTTTATGTTTATGTCATTGTTTGTTTCCCTATGGTGGAAGCAGACCGTCAGCATATGTGAGTGGCGTCCACCTTGGCTGCGCGAGGGGCTCGATGCCCCCTCGGTCCTTGCGTGGGTCTTCCTCTGGCGGTCTTTGCAGCTAGGGCCCCACTGCAGTCTTCGCTCTTTGCCCAAGGTCGGGTATGACAATGCTTCGATTGCAGTGGGAGCAACGTGTTTCATAATGTGTTATGACGGAGAAGCGTCCCTCTATGAATGGAAATGCTTTCCAACGCATCCCGGCTTGAGAGCTTCAAATGCATGTCGGCTCTTTGAATGAATCTATTTGGAAACATTCTCTAACATACAAAATTCGTTTTTTTATATTTGCACAGGCTGCGAAAGGCCGCTAGCGGCCACCAAAGGCCGCCAAAGACCGCTAAGGCCTTTGTAGGCCTCGAAAACGCCAGTGCAGGCAGCTAAATATTGCTAATAAGCATCGCGGCACAGTCATAAGCGACCTGTGGTGTCCGACATATTTAGCAGTGACGTCATTGCCAGCTCGCGCGTGCTAAGTTCTGCAACAGCCGCACTTATTCTGCAGTGTCGCTGTCACGCCTCGATCAGGGAGTGCAGAGGAGATTGTCTCACTTGTCTGAAGTCAGACTCGTTGCCGAAGGCTGCCTGTTTGTATTCCGATGCACGTAGGTCTAATCCAGTATGGTGTTGGGTTCCGTTTGTTTGCCTGCACACGCCGCGGTATATGTGCGCAACAGTTCAGCAGGGTCGAGGAAGTCACTTCAAATTCGGGGTGTCTTCAAGCAAGGGTGCGGACGTTGCTGTAGGCCGACAGGCATCTCTCATATGGTCCCTCCCGCTGAGGAGCTGGAATCTTGCGCGCTATGGTGCTGACCTTCCCCCAACGGTGCTTGCATGGATTATTGCTTGGATTACGAAGGAACTGGATAGGTATGTCGGGGTTTGGGTTGGTGCGGGATTGGTGCCGCCTCGTTGCCACCTAGTTGCAGCTTGGGGCGCTGGGTGGGTGCGCCAGGGTGTCAGCTGGTTCCCGGTTGGTGCCGCCTCGTTGCCGCTTTGGGCGCTGGGTGGATGTGTCAGGGTTTCGGTTGGTGCCGACTCGTCGCAGCCTCGTTGCCTCCTCGGGCGTTGGGTGGGTGTGTCGGGGTTTCTGTTGGTGCCCCGTTGGTGCTGTCTCGTTGCCGCCTCTCGCGTTGGGTGGGTGTGTCGGGGTTTATGCTGGTGCCCGGTTAGTGCCGCCTCGTTGCCGCTTTGGGCGCTGGGTGGATGTGTCGAGGTGTCGGCTGGCGGCTATCGTTGCCGCCTCGTTGCCTGCTCGTTCGTTGTGTGCGTGTATCGTGGTGTCGGCCAGTGCCCGCTGGGTGCCCCCTCGTTGCCGCCTCCTTGCCGCCTCGTGCGTTGTGTGCGTGTGTCGGGGTGTCGGCCGGTGCCCGGTTGGTGCCGCTTCGTGACCGCCTTGTTGCCTCGTGCGCTGGGTGGGCGTGTCGGGGTTTCGGCTGGTTCCCAGTTGCTGCCGCCTCGTTGCCGCCCCGTTGCCACATCTCTCGCCACATAGCTCGCACCACATAGCTTGCTCAGTCACAGTGCAATAACTGACTGTAAGGGGTCCACGCTAGCAATCAGTGTTCTCCCTGGGGTTTTCCCAGCCGCTGCCACTGGCATGTCATGCAGTAGCGAGGTTGCAGTGTTGCAGAAAATCAGGGGCGGTGAAGCGACTGTGCAGCAAAATGCGAAGCGCGTTCATAGCCGCCACTGGCCGCCGTTGGTTGTTCTTCTCTGGTTGATGCTGCAGCGTATTGCTTATGGTCCCAGTCCAGACGTTCCTGGGATGCTCCGAACCTGCATACGTGCGATGTGCGCATTATTTCGCTTCTTCGCTCATTCCGCCGGCCCATGCTGCACCAATGTTGCCAAATGTTACGGTGCCCATGGCGGGTAAAAAGATAGGGGACTCGATAGGGGAGGAGGAGAAGGCCTCTCGACGGCTTCTTGGGGCACTATTGGGACCAAATTGGGTCGCGGACAGGACGCGTTTTTTGGAAGGCTTCTTGTTGTCGGTTGGGGGGCCTCTCGGGGTACTCTTGGCGTTTTTTTTGATCTCCTGGAGCTTCTTGGGAGCCCCGTGGAGCATTCTTTGGGCTTCACGGGGCTTCTTGAGGTCTTACTGGGGGCTTGCTGGCGGTCTCGGGGGCCAACTTTCGGGAAAGGCTCGATATGCCCGTTCGGATTCCCCTTCCTGGAGCCCCCATGGGAGCCTCTGGAGCTCTCTAGGGAGGCCTCTTGGGCCGTCTTGGGGCCCTCTTGGGCCGTCTTGGGAACGTCCTGGGAGCCTCTTGGGCTGACTCTGGGCGATCTTGGAGGACTCTTGGGCCGACCTGGGCGGTCGGAAGCTTGAAAAGGCGGTAACGCCAAAATCATCCCAAAACCAAATCGATGAATTTGGCCTCTTCGGGCCCTCTTGGGGTCCTCTTGGAGTCCTCTGGGGGCGTCTTGGGCGCTTCTTGGGCGGTTCTGAAACCAACTTGGGCAATCTTGGAACGCTCTTGGCCTGAGGCCGTGGGGCTTGCCACCATCTTGCGCCTCGTTGGGGCGCTCCTGGGGCGCTCCGGAGGGCCCTGGGGCCGCGCCCAGGAGTTCCGGCATCCGTGACCCAGACCTGCTAGGACATTGCGGGGTATTTTTCGTCTGGGGATCCCCAAGGGCCGCCACGCGCGCGAGGCAGAAACATTCTGAAATCCTTACCGGAGATTTTAGCACGCCTCTGGCCCGTTGGACCGACGAATCTGCGCTTCCGCCGTCCCACTTGCCCCTGCATTCAGGAGGCCACGGATGGTAAATGCAGCAAGTCGCATGTCGACGCGGGGGCAACGGTAGATTTTAATTTGGCAGAAGCAGGGGTGCGTCGATGAGGTTTCAAGAAGAGTGCCTTCATGTCCACAGCGTGAGTCCGTTTGTAAAGTCTTCAGCTCGTTACCTTGCGCCCCCTGACGTGTGTTTCGAAGACGCTCACGGCGAGTCACCACCTCCACCTGCCTTTTGGAAGCGCTTGGGTCGTGAAATGTCCAGCGTACGTTCATCCATGCTTGTGGATTGCGCGTTCCCCGAGCCGTTGGGGAAACCATTCGGGGAACATTCGAGACGGGCCCTTATGGGGCCGTTTTGGAGTTTCGTTTTCCCTCTTGGTGGGTCTGCTGGGAGCTTCCTTGGGCTCCCTTGGGCATTCTTGGGGCTCTCTTAGGCCACCTTGGGCCGTCTGGTGCTTTCGGGGGGCGTCTTGGGGGCGTGTCTTGGCCGTCTTGACGCTCTCTTGCGGCTCTTCGCGGCCGTTTTGGGGCCTTCTTGTGCTGTTTCGAAGCCCCGTATTGGGAGCGTCTGGAGCCGTCAAAAGGCTCTCTAAAGCTGTTGTGGGGGCACTCAGGGACGCCTCGTGAGCCATCTTAGGGCCATCCTGGAGGCCTCTTGGGCTGTTCGAGACCGTCGGCAGCATGAAGAGGCGAGACCACGAGAATGCGTTTTGGTATAATCTGCGAGCAACAATTGATTCTGGCTTCTCGGGGCCCTCCTGAAGGCCCTCTTGGTGGCCTCTTGGCGCGTCTTGGGGGCCTCATTGGCCGTCTTACGGCGCTTTTGGGCCGTCGTGCACTTTCGGAGGCCATGTTGGAGTCCTCTCAGGGCTGTCTTTGGGCCCGCTTGGGTCCCTTCAGGGCCGTCTGGAGGCCTTCTGGGGCCGTCTGGGTGTATTGGGGCCGGCTTGGGGGCTTCTGGAGCTGGGGGCTTACGGAGCCATCTTGAGTCTCTCTTGGGCTGTCTTGGGGCCCTCTTGAAGGTGTCCTGGGCCGTCTTAGAACCATTTTGGCCAAGGCGTATTGTCTTGTCTCGGGCTGTCGTAAGGATGAGAAGGCGAGAACGCGAGAACTTTCCAAACACTTCAGGATGACTACATAATCTGTTGCGCCTCTTGGGGTCCCCCTGGACGTTTTCTTGGGGGCCTCTTGGTGCGTCCCAGGGGTCCGGGCCACCTTCGACCGACTTTGCGACCACAAGGGCCCTCCTGGGCAAGAGACAGCGGAGTGTTGCTTTTATGCGGTAGCGGCGTGAAACGGCGGAGTCCAAAACCACTGGGAGCACTTCTTGGGGATTGTCTAAAAGTGCTCCAGAGCCTCCATCAGCGGACCCGGTGCGGCCTCCACGGCCAATTCCGCACTTTCATGGGTGGCCTAGACACCGAGGGGTAATGTACAAAGATCGTGTGCTACGCTTTCGACTCGAAGACAAACCTGTTCATCTAGTGAACTCCAGGGGGGATGCAGTGGGGGCGGCACTTGTTAGAAGGTTCGGGAGGCCTCCGTTATTCTGAGAAGTTGTCTAAGCCTTTTCCAGATACAGTGACATCTTCTCAGAAGGCTGGAGGGTTTCTGAGAAGCCCCGCGGCTTTGTGCGAGAGCCTGCGCCTTCTCTTTTCCCCCCTAGCTTCGCCACGGCATAGCTGCGTGGCACGCCGAGCACCCCTGTGGCGAGCACACGGAGCGGCGGCGGATCTCTGCCGGCCTTTGCCAGGTCCATCCCACCACCGCGCCTGGGACGTGGACGAGAGGCCTCTCTAGAGGCACATTGGGTCTCGTGGGAGGCCTCCCACAATTCTCCGCCAAATCAAGCGCAAGTGTTTGTCCCGCGACGTGTCGGACCCTGTTGCCCCACAAATTCAACCTTCGCCCCGAAACTTGCGACTCTGATTTTCCTTGGAGCCCCCGGGCGGCGTTGCGCTCGTCGTGCATCTTGGGGGCCTCTTAGGGGTCCCGGGAGCTTCTTGGGGGCTTGGGGTCCTACTGGCTGGCTCAGGGGCCATCTTCGGGACAATGGCTGGACATGTCATGGCGGTTTTCCCTCTCTGGGCCCTCTTGAGGGCCCCGGGGGCCACCTTGGGGCGATCCTCGGTGCATCTCTGGGTCGTTTTGGACGCTCCTATGTAGCGCCAGAACGCGGAGCGCGCGAGGACCTCGCAAAGCATACGGCTTCTCCACGACTCTGGCCTCCCTGTGCCGGCCCCCGTGGTTTCCCTGACCTTCTTCCAGGAGGGCTAAAGAATATAGCACCCGACGCAAAAAGACCTGTCCCAAAGCTAGTCTACGTCTTGGCGTTGGGCTGTTCGGCGGAGTTTTTTAGCTTTTGGGCCTCCCGTGCTAAACAAGTAGTTCTCTGGGAGGCCAGGGCTCCGACACGGCCCAGGAGGCGCCCGCCTGGCTCTCCGGGGCGGGCCGCAGGCCCCCCCCCCCCCCGGGAGCAAGCCGGGCCGCGTCGGACGCGCGGGCTCCCCACCGCGCTGCCCCCAGGGGCCTCCAGGCAGGCTGGGTGCTCTCCAGACAGGGCCTCGTCTTCGAGGGCGGAGTTCCTTGGCCCTCTCCTCCACCTCCTCCTCCTCCTCCTTCTCCTCCTCCTCCTCCTCCTCCTCCTCCTCCTTTTCCTCCTCCTCCTCCTCCTCCTCCTCTTCCTCCTCGGCGCGGAAGTCGGCGGAGGGCCGGCGGGAGGCGGCGGAATTTAGAAGCAGTGCCCCTAGCAGATGACAAGATGTTTGGGGTCAGGGTTTCCGGTACGCGCCATGCAGAGAGGCGATTCCCAGGAGCGCCACAGGCGCGCCCAAAAATTCAACGTTTCACGAGATCCAATACGACTCAAAGCAGAGAGCTGGACGGGACATGAACACATGCCAGCCAGCGCTCACATTACGAGGGTGGATACAGGAGTTTGCAGAGTTCGATCGTTTTTTCGAACTCGTCGTATTCCGATGTCCTGGATGGATATGTTGGTTTTGCCGTTTCACTCGTTGCAAATACAAAGGTACGCGCCAACATGTGGAGAGTAGTGGGAAGGCGAACGGTTTTGACGGCTCAGGTTGGCGCAAATGTTTGGCATCGAGAGCTTCCACCAGCTTCCCATCGATCCGGTCTTCAACTCGGTGGGCGGACTGGATCCTCACTTTTCCCGGGATTCCGTGCCTGTGCCCATCTTATCCCCAGCGTTCTGGCTTCAGATAGGCCACGCGCGCGTCGCCGCAGTGTTCCCCCTGGTCTCCCTCTCTCTCTCTCTCTTTCTCGTTTCTGTGTTCCTGCGGCTCCTGCGGCCACGTGTACTCCTGCCTCTACTGCTGCCCCTGCGCGCACTACTTCCGCTATCTCTATTGCTCACATCCCCTATCATACTACACTTGCTCCTCGCCATGCTATTACTTTCACGACTACCAGCGCTACTGCGCCTTTCGCGACCATTGCCATGACTACTGCCATTACCACTGCCATCAAACTGCATGGAGCAAGGGCAAATTCTGCCACTGTGCCAGTTCAGCGTCGACAAGTACGCAGATGCTTCTACCAAGCTCTCCCAGAAAGGCTCAGGATAACATAGAAAGGAGGTGGAGATTGACCGCTTCCTCCCATCCTCATCCCCTTCCCTTCCCTGTCCTTCCATCCATATCTATATTTCCCCTCCCCCTCCTACTTCCCCCTTCTCCTATTTTCCCATCCCTCTCCTACTTTCCTATCCCCTTCCTATTTCCGCTTGACGACGACGCTGGTAAAGACGACGGCGGCGGCGACCACGACGGTTCTGACGATCGCGAAGACGATGGCGGCAACGATGGTGGCGGCGACGGCGACGTTGACGTCGACGACGCAGCTGGTGGCGGTGTTGACGGCGACGACGACACTGATGACGACGCTGAAGACGACGACGGCGGTGGCGACCGCGACGATAACGATGATGGCGGCGACGATGGCGGCGGCAATGGTGGTGGCGGCGACGACGACGATGCCGACGATGACGACGACGACGACGACGACGGCAATGACGACGGCGACGACAACGACGACGACGACGACAATGACGACGGCGACGACGACGACGACGACGGAGATGGCGACGGCGCCGGCGGCGGCGGCGATGACGGCGGCGGGGATGACGACGCCGATGACGACTGCGCTGGCGGCGGCGGCGGCGGCGACGACGACCTCGTCGGCGACGGCGGGAGGCCTCCCGGGAGTCCTCCGACGGCCCGGTGCTCGCTCGAGGGGAGCACTCGGCCCCGACGATCGTGCAGGCCCCTTCGGCGGCTCTCCGTCTTCGCCGCCAGCATGCAGTGGAACGGAAGTGAGAGGCAGACTTCAGGCCAGAGCCCAGAAGCAGCCTGAGCAGCATCACAGCATGTGCACCAAAAATAGTCGAGGGACATGGAGCGGCAGGGACACCAACTTTCCTGTGCCCGCGCGGATTTCTCGGATCGGCGCCCGAGGCGCCGCCGGGGAGAGGGTCCAGCGCCGGTCCAAGGACATGGCGCGGATTCTCGAACGTTTATGCCTATCTCGGTGTGTCTTTCTCGAAGTAAGTGCACCAAAGAAGGGACCGACCTGCCAGCAAATGCCAGGCGGAGGTTCCTCATGCAGTGGCAGCCCCGGGAGTCCACATAAGGCGTGGGGCAGCAAATGGGGCGCACGATTTCCCAAACGGTGCTTGCACTAAGGGCTGGGGTTTTGCCGGGCGGGCGCTCGTGGTCGCCTGGCAGGCGCTTGTGGGCGCCTCGGGCGCTGGCGCGCGTCTCAAGATGCACACAGGGCTTGCACCAAATCGATTATTTGTCCTACGAAGAGCTAGCTGCGAATTGCCCATGCCCAGGCCGGACTTATCGAGGCCCTTCCGCGCATACATTTATTTTCCAGCCATCTTGCACAATGGGTCAGCTCATGCCCAATGCGCATGCTATGGTCTAAGATGTTGTTTTTTCAAGGGTCTGGCGATAACCTGGGGTATCGGGCTTGCGCCCCCCGAATAACCCCACCCTGTCCGTTAAATTGTCCAGACGTCTCCTTCGGCATTCCCAGACGGCGCCCGCATCGTCGCAGCACGAACGGTAGCATCGTCGCAGCATCGTTAACAGTTGCATGGGCCGCAGCATTGGTGCGCGCGGCCATATGCGGACCCACGCGCGGGGCCAACCCCTCCCCCACGCGCGTCGAAGTCATCGTAAAACCATGTTTCCGTAAAACATAACTTCCAACATAGAGCTCCAAAACACATGACACACATGCCCGGTCAATAGAGAACGTTAGATCGTTTGCGCGCGCACGCGTTATTATGGTCACATGAGAACTGCAGCATCCTGTCATCCATCCTTGTCAACATGACAGTATGCAGACCACACGCGTGCCCCCGCGCGCTCATGTCGAAATCCCAGCAAGAGCATCGCGCACGTACCAGCATCAGAATTCCAGAGATTCCCGTCAGGTCTGTCACATAACATCATACGTGCCACGCGCGCTCGGGCCCCCTCGTGCGCATCCCGTGCCCATTCAAAAGCAATTGGTTTGGGAGCATGCGCTCCAACGCATGTACAGAGCCCGTTGCTTGTCGATGAAAAATATCTTAGGGCCCCCGGCATCACCATACTTTGCCTGCCCGTGCCGTGGATCTCTGTGCGAATGGTCCGCGTGCCATGTTGCCTGGTGGGATGTGCTAGCAGGGTCCGATGGGTAGCTGCAACCACGGACTCGGGATTATTGCAAACAAGTTGCGGGTGGATGGCTGGGACGTCTGTACCAGCATTGGATTCGACGACGTCCAGCTCATCAGGTCAACCGCACCTCGTAGATTACACCGACGGTGAGCGCCAACCAGCTTGGACCACATGGCCTGCATCCCACGGTTTGCGCTGGGAGAGTGCAGTAACGCATTGCGTTGGATCCACGATGGCACGCGTTCTTTGAATCAGAAGGCGTGGTATCGTCTGTACCTGCTTCGCTGGTTGCAGACGAGCAGTATCCTCCAAGAGCAGCGCGGGCGGGCCCATTGGTTGCTTGAACGGGCTAAGGCTTGAGCTGCTCAGTTGTTGCGGCTCCGTCCGCACAGTCTGCACCCGGAAGCGGGGACCGCGTATCTCGCTACACCCTTGCTCCCTCCTTCTCGTACCGCGACTCCTTTTCCTCCTCCTCCTCCTCCTCCTCCTCCTCGGATGAGCTTTCAATCGGGGGGATGTTGTGGCGCCAGAGGCCCGTACCCATTCCTCCTGCTCCTCCTCCTCCTCCTCCTCCTCCTCCTTCACCTCCTCCCTCCTCTCCTTCTCTCCTCGCCTCTCCTCCTTTTCCTTTTTCCTCCTCCGCCTCTTCCTCCCTCCTCCCCTCCTCCTCGCCTCTCCTCCCTTTTTTTTCTCCTGCCCACACCTCCTCCTCCCTCATCCTCCCCTCCTCCGCCCCTCCCTCCCCCCGTCCCATCCTCCTCCGTCCTTCCCACTCACTGTTCTCGCCCTCGAACCCCCTCCTCGCGAGAGGCCATGCACGGCCTCGTGGCGCAGCTGGACGAGGAGATGGACCGCCTCGCGGCCAGCAGGGGGTCTCGCCCGAAGGCGCCCCCCTCTCGACCGTGCCCCTCCGGAGGTCCGGCGGGGGCGGAAGCCCCGGGGCGACGGTCTTTTTTTGGATTCCGCGCCCCTCCTCGCTTGGGGCCGCGGACCTGCCTCGCTGCCGCTTCTCAGCTGGCTCGTGACGCGAACGGCACGCGCGCAGGGGAGGAAGAGAGGGAGGAGGAGGAGGAGGAGGAGAGAGGAGGAGAGAGGAGGAGGAGGAGGAAGGGAGGAGAGGAGGAGGAGGAGGAGGAGGAGGAGGAGGAGGAGGAGGGGAGAGGAGAGAGCGGGAGGAGAGGAGGAGAGAGGAGGTAGGAGGAGGAGGAGGAGGAGGAGAGAGGAGGAGGAGGAGGAGGAAGGCGCGCGGGTAAGTGGTTCGTGGGTATGCCGTTCGGGAGCAGTTTTTTTTATAGCTATTCTCCACCCTGGGCCTCTGGGGGCCAGCTTCGGGCCCCCGGACCGTGCACAGAGTGCGGCGCGGGCCCTGCGGAGCTGGGCCCTGCGACAGGGGGTCGAGGGGCCCCGGGGGGGCGTCTCCCGAATGATATGGAGCCGCCCGACGCTTGCCCGCCCCGCCCGTGCCGGAGGGCGAGGAGGGGCCAGAGGCCAGAGGTTTTTCCTCCTCCTCCTCCTCCTCCTCCTCCTCCTCTGGGCGCCACGTGCTGAGGCCGCTGGCCCACCCTGCGGCGGGCGCGCCACCAGCGCGCTTGCTCGGGGTGCCGAGACCAGGGGCGCTCGCTCGTGGGCGCGAGCACGCGGGTTTAAAACTCCTCCTCCTCCTCCTTCCCTTCTTCCCGTCCTCTCCCCTCCTCATCTTCCCCTCCCTCCCTTCCTCTTCCTTTTATTATCTTCTCTTTTCCTTACCTTGCCCCCATGCAATCCTCCTCCGCCTCGCCTCTTTACTCCTCTCCTGATGTTTCTCCGAACTTATCCGCGCCTGTCTCTTGGAAGTACCTTCTCTTGGAATAGCCACAGTGTTGGCAGGGCAGGTCTGTCGTTTCGCTTGAGCCTTCCTCACAATTTGTGTCCCCGAAGCTTGACTATTCTAGCGTTTGCACTTATGATCGCAGGTGGTCTGCAAACTGTGGTTCTTGCTTTGGCGCCGAACACTTTCACCAGACAAGCTCGCAACAGCCTCACGGTTGGGGATCGGTGAATTCCCCAATGGGTTTTTGTTTGAGGGTTGCTTGTTTGTTTGTGAGCGATATGGTGGGTGCAGGGTCCTTCGCCCCCCAGCGTTGCCCAGGATTGCCCGGAGGTGTTCGGTCGTGCACTGCAATGCCAAGCCATGCCAACCAATGCCAACCGATGACAAGTAATGCCAATAAATGCAAATCAATGCATCACACTGCAAGGCAATGCGAAGCAATGCCAAGCAATGTCAAGCAACGCCAAGCAATTCAAAACAATGCGAAGCAGTGCCAGTCAACGGTTTCAAATAGTTCCAAGCAGCGCAAAGCAATCCAAGCCATTGCCACGCCATGCCAAGCAATACCCAGCAATGCTAAGAAATGCCCAGCAACGCCAAGCAATGCCAAGAAATGCCAAGCACTTTCAGGCAACGCCAATAACCGCCTGGCAACGCCAAGCAATGCAACAATGCAAAAAAACACTGCCAAACTATGCGAAACAGCGATTCCAAGGTATGAAAGTAATGCCAGGCAATGCCAAACTGACAAGAGACGGCTCCAAGCAATGCGAAGCAATGCAAACAACGACCAGCAACGATCCCAAGCAATGCTGAACAACGCCAAGCAGCGCCAAGCAACGATTCCAAGCAACGCCAAGCAAGGCATACCCGCGTCAAGCAATGCGAGGCAATGCTAAGCAGTGCCAAGCATACAGCAGTGGTTGGCGTTGCTCAGAACAGAAATAAAATGCTTTGGAAGACATAAGACTACTAATGAGGATCACGACGGGGGCGTTATTTTGAATGTGGTTATGGCTTAAGTGCCGCGCATTGCTATGTCAGAGGTCATAGCATAATGAGGGGAGACGATGCCGTTTTCAACATGTGGCTCTCGCATTTGCGCCGAGCACCTCAAACGTTGAGCACAACGCCGGCGGATGTTGGAATATTGTTCAACATGCGGTTTCCGTTTGGAGTTTGTGTGATGTCCCACCTGTAGCCGAATGTGTATAACATTCAAATGGACGGAGGGCGGTTCCTTTTGACATGTTGGCCCTCGCTTGACGTCCTTGGTTCGTTATGGTCCGAAACACAGCAATTGAGGATGCAGCAGAGTTCCTGTTCAACATGTGGCTTTAACGTGGCACTTCGTTGAGCTCGATAATCCTACTACCATGTTTTGACGCCTTGATCAGGTACAAGGATGGTGCAGGGTGGATCCTGTTCGGGCCCCCTTCTGCATGGCAAGCCCACGGAACGCTCGTCCTTCAGGGGAGCGCCCCATAGCAAAACGGACTACCTGCTGGGACCTACGATCGTAGCATTTTGGTACGGATGTTTGTGCTGGAGCATCGTGGATGCATCCCACGGTTTACTCCAGCCCTCCCCCTGCCTCTCTCCTGCCTCCCCGCGCGGAGGGGGGCTGAGAAAGGGAGGGAGCATGGAGTGGAGGAGGGACGGAAACGGGAAGATGGCCTCGTCTCCGTCGTCCCTCCCCCCTCCTTCTCACTTGCGCCCTCTCTCCTCCTCCTCCCGACGTCGTCGTCGTCGTCGTCGTACGCTTGCCTCCTCCTCCTCCTCCTCCTCCTCCTCCTCCTCCTCCTCCTCCTCCTCATCTCCCCCCTCCTCCTCCTCCTCCTCCTCCTACTCCTAGCCGTTCTGGCGCAGGTGAGCGCTTGCGGGTCCTCTCTTCAGAACGGCAAGGGACCCGCGGATCAAATTTTGGCTTCTATCTTTTCTCGTCCAACTTTCCCAGTCAGACTGGTGTCCCATGGCCCTTACAAGGGCGGCGGCGGCGGCGGCGGAGGCACTCCTCCCCCGTGGCGCGGCGGCGGCCCCAAGGGCTGGCAGCGGCAAGACTGGAGTAACTACGACTACGGCGGAGGCGCCCAGTGGCCTGCTGGCCAAGGGTACGGCGCGGCTGGCAGGAGCGACTGCTGGAAGTGCGTTGCGTGCGGGTGCGGCAAGACCACAGCTTGGGCGTCGCACGGCAAGCACTGCGGAGCGCCGAGGCAGGCCCCTTCGGCCAGCCAGCATGCTCCTCCTCGTGGCGTTTGGTCTCATCAGCAGGGCCTTCCTCGTGCTCCTGGGTATCACCCCCCAGGAGAATGGGCTGCCCTCCCGCCTGGACCGCAGCTTGGAGGAACGGCGCAAGGCACGGGCAGCAGCGGCCGTGGGCAGGACGCCCCGCTGGACGCCAAGGAACTCCAGATGCTGGTCGCCCTGGCACGCCGCGCAGGTGACCAGGCTACCGCGGCCAGGTACCAAGGCCAGCTGGACTCCATGGCGGCAGCCTCGAAGCCTCCGCCCAAGGCCCTGCAGGACCAGGTCAGCGACCTGCACCACCGCATCAAGAAGCTCGACGGCAGGCTGGAGGCTGAGCTGGCGAAGCTTGCGAGGTGGCAGGACGGCATCAAGGCGCAGGAGGTTCTCATCCATGACTTGTCGAAGCAGTCCGAGGCCATGGTCACAGAACATCGGCAACTGGTTGCACAGCTTCACAGTGCAGTTGTTCCTCCCTCGGCTGCTGGCGCAGAGGTCACGCCTGGACCCACTTTGTCACTCCGCGACCTCGTGGACGGGCGGGTCCCCAACATCGTCATCGACGACGGAGGCCTCTTCTCTGTCGACGCTGAGGGCATGGAGGCTTCGGATCTTCAAGAGGTGGAGCGACGTCGGGCCGACTTCAAGGAGCATATCGGCAAGGCAGCCAAGGCCCTGTTCGCCGAAGCTATGGAGCGAGCTGCAGTCGCCAAGGCCGAGCACGACGGGTACCTCAAGCGCATGGCCACCAAGCGCAGGAAGGGGTGCGACGGGGCCGTGTCGGCTGGGGGCGAAGTTCGCGAAGGAGGCGCTGAAGAAGCTGGGTCGCATCCTGGGGCTGCATCTGGCAGCGGCGACGCCTCGGCCAGCGACGCCAGCCAGCCAGCCGCCTCAGTCAGCCGAGTTCGCGAGCATGCAGCACGAGTTGCAGAGCGTGTTCAGCAGCAGCAGGCGACTCCTGAGAGCAGCGGCTCAGGCGAGCGGCCCAGTGAGCAGCAACATCGCAGCCCCCCTGACGGTCAGCAGGCCTGAAGGGGGGGTATCCAACTTTCCTTTGCGTGCAACACCTGAAAGGTGTTCCAGTTCAGTTTTTTCAGAGGGAGGTCGACAGCGAGTGCAGGCTGTCAGGGCCCCTCCTCCTCGTGCCCAACTTCTTCCTGTTTTGCTTCGAAATATTAGTCGCAACGCGCGAGCCAGGGATGCTTCCTTCTCGGAGCCAGGATGTGGTACCGAGTTTGGAGGCCCCTTTTTGCCCCCGCCACCTCCAGGCCACCAGTCGTTCCGTCTGAGGGTCGTGTCGGTTAACGGTAACGCCTGGGGGTCGGTGAAGGAGTGGCTCCCTAGTGGAGATGCTGAAGTTATTCTAGTCCAAGAGCACAAGCTTTTGACACAGGAGGCTTTGGATAGAGCCTCCTCCGTTTGTCGTGGCCTCGGTTTCAAATCTCTTTGGATCCCTGGCACGACTGGGCCCGAAGGGGGGCCCTCTGCGGGAGTCTCGATCCTGTGTCGCGCCAATCTTGGGCTTCATCGGGCGCCCTCGGGGCTTGAGCTGGCCCCCCATAGGGCCATCGCGGCACTGGTGCATGCGCCCCAAGGGGACGTGTTTCAAGCTTGTTCCGTGTACATGCGCGACTCTGAGGGGCTTTCGGGATCTAGCCTCGAGATACTGTCGGCGATAGGGGCGGAAGGGTCCACCTGCGGGAAACCATTCCTTGTCGGGGAAGATTGGAACATGGAGCCTTCCGAACTCGCCATGTCCTTTTTCGTGAGCACCCTGGTTGGTCAAGTTATCGACCCCAGCAAGCCTGCCTGTCACGCTGGCGCGGGCAAA